CCCCTCCCACTGCACATAGCAGGCCCCAGCGCTGCCGTGTCCTGTGGACACCGTGGGTTTGCTGCCAGGTGAAATAGCTAAGCCAGACCCTCGTCCTTGTCCTTTCCTAGAGGTATGAGCCTCCGTCCTGCTGTCCCCACGGCTGCTCCGGGGGCACTACCTGACTCGCAGGGACCCTCGTGGGCCACAGTGAGGTTGGCATCGGGGTGGGCACGGGCGACCTCCAGGAACCTGCAGATCTGGGCGTAGGTTCTGCCGTCGGAGCCACAGAGGGCCAGGTGGGACAGGCAGGCGCACTGGGGCTCGGGCACTTCTCCGTGCCGCAGGTCCCCGGCATCCAGCCGGCACTCCAGGTGCTCCCCGCACTTGCCGTAGAAGTGGTTGGTGTTGTCCAGGTCACAGATCTGTCCCTCCAGGTTGGCACACTCCCAGCAGCAGTCACAGGCATCCCGTACGGTGCCAGCCAGGCACCCACGTGGCGCCGGGCACTCCTCCGGCTGGCACTCAGCGCAGCCCTCCCCTTCCTCCAGCAGCCGCTGCCAGCCCCGCTGGAGGTAGTCAGAGGTGCTGGGAAAAGCCTGTCCCAGCTGGAGCAAAGCCCAGTGCAAGGAGAGGAAGAAAAGCACAAGGCAAGAAGAGCTCAGGGTCTTGGCTTCAGACATCCTCATGGCAGCTCCTCTATCCTGGTCCCACCATGCCTTGGACAGGGACCGTTGGTACTGCTCTGTCCTCCCTGGCTAGATCTGAGGAGCCATCCTGGCCTGCAAGGAGGGAGGACACGTGTTACCAGTGTAGGGAGTGTTTCCCACCCCTCTGTCTCCTGTCTGGCTTGCCCTGAGCGGCAGCACTGTGTGATGGGCAGGGGAGGGTCAGTCCCAGCCCCTCTCACCCGAAGCCCCACAGCCACATCCTTCCCACCCTGGAGGTCCCCAGTCAGCTCCTGCCCGAAGATGCTGAGCGTCCTCCAGTGGGATGGGGCTGCTGGCCCCAGACACACCAGGTTTCATCCTTCCTCCCTGGCAGCCCGGCAGGCACAGCCCAGCCTGCTCTGATCCCACTCTGGCCTGAGGAGCCACGGGGCTGGCAGGGGCCAGAAAGGCTGCTCCACACCGTCACGGCTCATCTGGTTTGTACCTTGCTTCTCGTCTCCTCTCAGGAAGCCGCTCTCAAGCCAGGCATCCCTTTCATTTCCCCATCATTTTGCAAGAGTCACGAGCCCTTTTTTCCTCCCACACTGTCCAGACAAGTGCAGTGGAGCCACTGATCCTGCAGACAAGGGGCTCTTCCATTCTAGGGGCAGCCAGCCTAGAGGAGCCGAGCTGGGAGGATGCTCCTGGTCATGCCTGGCTTGTCCTCCTCCCCTCCCTGCACTGTACCCCCTCTTTTTAGGCACCTAAGCAGGGGAGGAAACACCTCCTCAGGAAACCTTTGTGACCCCCCCAGTTATCACATAGGTGATGGGCTGAGCACAGGGGAACTCGGTGCACAAGTGGGCAGTCAATGGGCTGGCAGCAGGCCCAGAGCAGTCAGCCTGTCCTGGCACAGCAGAGTCCCTGTCCCCAAACCCCAAGCCTCCATTACCCAGCCAGGGAGGGCCAAGAGACTAATTTGACCCCAGGCTTCCCATCTCTGCTGGGGGTACATGTAAAGGTCTCATTCCCCGGCCCTGGGCTACACCCTGTCTGCCTTCCCTGAGATAGAGTGAAATTATGGTCCCCTGCCCCAGAGCCACCCAGCACCAGTGAGCGGGGCTGGGGAGGAGACCCAGGGGGCTGGACTGCCCCA